TATATATATATATATATATATATATATATATATATATATATATATATATATATATATATATATATATATATATATATATATATATATATAATAAGAAATATATGACTAGGTATTGAAGGAATACATACACATTTATGCAAGAAATATATTTGCAACATTTCTTTTAGATTTATACACAATTTCTTTTTCATTTATGTAAGATCTCGTACATCAATGCAAGATTTCTTATTTATTACTATATTATTGAAAAAATCTGATAGTTTAATGTTTTAATTCTATATACACGTTGTTCTATTGCTACAAATGCATTCGTTCGCTAAAATAAGATTCAATAACAAATAATTTGGCGTATCTTCCCGGTATTCAAGTAAAAATAGCTGCTCAGGTAAAAGAGCTTCAATATGGGAATAGATGGAACGGAAAATAATAACAGTGGAGAGGTAATAATTATAATAAAAGACCAAATAAATAATAAAATTTAGTTGGTTAACCACAGTCGCACCGACCTGTCCCGAACTCACTACCGCGTCGTAGAATACGGGAGCATACGCTTCTCTGACAGGGTCATCATGCAATTCCCAGTGGAACAGGAAAATTTTAATAACTCACATTTGCCAATTTTGCATTTGTTACTTGCATCATTTTGAGGGATTTTTAAATTCTTCGGGATGTTTGCTGTATGTTAAGACATATTGCTGTATGTTGAGATATACTGCATATTGTAATGTAGCAACCAATTAAAAAAATTCAATTCCTCAATAATTCCTGACATATGTTGTTTTATGTTTTGTGTTTACGATATTTGTGTACTGCATATGCATATATGGGGAAGTGAAAAGTTAATGCTAAATTGGTAACATATTAAAACGGATAAGGAGAGATCCAATATGCAACACTTAACTTCATTTTATAAAAATTTAGGAGAGATGGTGATGCAATAACCAAAATTTCATTTAAATTTATTAGGGATGCATGAGAAAAATGAAGAAACGTTGGGCATTCCATAACTGAACATATAAGTTGAGTGTAAAAGTGCAATCAACCGAAACTGGTTTGAAAAGATGAGTCCGGGCCGTTCTGGAACATAAAGGGTAGATCATTATAAGGTCAGATTATAAAAACTAATCTTTAATGATTATGTTGACAGGTTTGAACGGTTTCTGATGATTTCTATTGAAGAAAACCTGGGGTGCCAAAGGTTCCCAACATGAAAAAAAAAGAAAAATACAATGTTACATCATTTGTTGGTACATCGCATGAAAAAAGATCTTACCACTCATAAGTAATAAATAATAAAGTCAATCCGTGGATAAAATAACTCAAAAGATTTGATATAATGTCAAATAAAGTCTGAAATAAGCTTTTATGCACAGCGGACAAAAATGACTGCAATTTTTTTCCTTTTGGGGGACGGAGGAGAGGCTGACAATAGCCTTAATTGAATGGAAAAATCAGAATTCTTTTGCCTGAAAAACTTCGGAACTGTTATGCATTGTTGGCTTATTACAACTTCTCATTTTGTGACCGAAATAACATTAATAAAATAATGAAGACATTAATCATAAGTTAACACGATTAATACTTACAGCAACGGCTCGCTGCGTCCGTTGCTGTTTTGTACGTTCTTTGAATTCCCTTTGAGTTCGATCAAATCGACTATTCGAACGATTCTTCGTTGCTCCACGAAACTGACCTTCAACATTACTTTTAGGGCGTACAACATAATCCCTCTGCGATGGTCGTGGTACACGCGCCCGCATTATGAAACCTTTGTCACCAGGACGAGGTTCTGATATCTCCTTTTCAGCATCTGAACTTTCCGATCCAGCACTAAAAATGTTTCAAAATCATCAGTCACACGTCCAGGTAATAATATTTAAGTGACACATTTGCAAAAAGGAAACATCGCTACCCTAGTAAGTTTAAGTAAAGTGGATTTTTTGTTTTTAAAAGACAAATACTAAAATCAATCCTAGAAAATTTAACCAACTGCATGATAAACCCGGTTAACCAACTGCATGATAACCCGGTCAACATTACGGTCATTATGAAATAGTAATGCCAAATCACATATGTCCGCTCATGCAACAATTACGATCAAAAAACTACTCTAAGCGTCGCCGTTTAGCTTCTGGTAGTTGTGCGTAATCACGCTGTACACGCTCATCTTTTGTCATTGAACGAAAATCTGTATCGAGCTGAAAACAGAAGGAGAAATGTATTCAAGATATCAAAGTATATTTTTTCCAAAACAATCATATAAAGGATTTATGAGTTATGTGTAAATATATATGTAGTATCATGATCCCTTTTGCCCACTGAATACTTATATTCTAATCTTATTTCATCGCAATTTCTACCCAGCAACTCTTTGAAAGGGAATAATTCCATTAACCGAGGAGAGTGAGTTATTTCATGCGATGCGTCATCCAGGAGTCACGTCACATTGAGAACCAAAACCATTCCATGAACACATTTGGTAATTAAATTGAGCGGACAGATTATCAGCTCTTTTTTGAAAATAAACAAAGAATTTCGAGAACAAAGAAAATCTACGCCTAAAATGCTCATCGAGAAAAATCAAAGGAAGGAAAGTTACGGACCTGGAAGATGGGTCTAGCCCAATCACTAATCAGCCGTGCAGCTAGAGTTTTATTCTCCTTAGTTTCGCGTGGGTGCTTATAGAGCAGCATTACAGCACGTCCTAATCCAGATTGTTTCAAAGTCCCCGGTTCTAGTCGACTAAAATCTTGCAGGATTTTTAACAAATCTGTCCGAATTTCCAATGCAGGTAATGATTTGTCAGGCAATGGTGCCAACCACTCTGATATTACATTCATCATGCCATTATCTAAAAAAATATTAAAAAGTTTTAAAATCTAAAACATTTTCCAGCAGATTCACAAGACTGTAAGTAAAGCAATTCAGCAAAACAGAACGACAAGACCTTTTACAACATTTAGTTTGGAGCACAAAAAGTTTGGTAAGGAAGTATTTCGAAAAATGTGCTAAATTCGTATTTTACCTCGATAATAATTCACAAGATATGCAATATTTTACTAGTTATATTGACTTACCAATAACAGCTTCCATTAAATCGTGCTTTATTAACATTGCTTTCACGTGTGGCAACATTTTACGCTTCTGTAACGCAGGTCGACGCTCCATATTAGAGTGACGGTCATCCTAAAAAAATTTTATACAGCTATATTAAAAAAATTTATAATAGCTAAATATTACAGCCAATTTTATAATCGACAGAGCACATGAATGTAAGGTGGAAGATAGCTTTAGATTGTTGGAGAGATGATCAAAGTTTGAACTCCAATAAATATGAAAGTTATTAAGAAGCAAAAAATTTTAAGTGATATATACGAATTGCGCTACATATAGAAGAAAATTAGGAATTACTTCATTTTCACGTATTTAAGAAGTAAAAATTAAAAACAATACCTTTGCTGCAGCTTTCATAGCATCAATAAGCATTTTAATTTGATCATCATAGGCTCCACCAACATCAATGGAACCATCTCGTCGGCGTCTTCTCGGTCTTCGTCGTTCTGCTTTTTTTTCACGCATCATTGTATCAAAGTCCCAAACTCGTCTATAGAACGAATGATCTTTTGTTACTTTCTCCCAGTAGAAGTCAGTAGAGTGGATAGTACTGATATTTTTACAGTAAGAATTCATTTTATGTCAATAATGTAATCACTGAAGGTCTTATAAAACATATACTATTGTCTTATAGTTCAGCTACGTTAACTTGGGCTAATCTTGCTAATAAAGTACTTTTAATAAAAGTTTTACCCGTCATCTTCGTCATTTTCATCACGAACATATCGCGGCTCGTCATCATCCCCCTCTGGACCATTTCCTTCTGCCTGACGTTAAAAGAAAAATATTAAAAGCAATAAATAAACTTTTGCGTTCCATCACTTACTCTCCCATTTTTTGAATCTCTCCCAGGATTGGCTTTTGCATCGAAGGAATCTGGACACCAGAACCGAAGACATCCAAATATTGGAGTTATATAACTAGACAATTATCTTCTCATATTTATATTTAGTTATCTTCTCTATATTCATAATTATCTTCTCATATTTATATTCTCGATATTTAGTATTCGAGTCTTTTAAAAAAAGAAAACAAGGCCAAGTTAGTTGCTGAAAATCTTTTATGCAGCAAAAAATTACATCAAAAGCTAAGAAAAGGTACTCACCCGATACTGTGCTTGAATTGCATCTTCATCATCCTTTTCATCATCGCTATCCTCCCCAAATATATTGGTCATTAATTCACCGACACCAACTTCAGCATGCTCTCCATCACCTTCCGATTCGGAATCACCTCTGGAAAGAAGACATGACTGCAAACGAACCAGGAATCCAATATATTTGGGGATACACAATTCAGAATTTTAATCAACCATTTATTTCCTTCTCTAAGGCAAATAGCATGCTGCAGAGAAGTATAAAATGTCCAAATGTCAAACATAGATATCACTGTTTGCGTGAGAATCGTTTTGTCAATAAGAAGTGTTTTTATGACAAGGAATTATCAGTAATGCAATCACCGTGACTTTGTTGCTGCCGGTGCGGTATCTATATTATCTTCTTCATCGCTGGACAACATGATGCGTCGCGCTTTCGATGGACCAGCTTGTATATCTGCAACTTTTTCTCCCTTGAACAACACTTTATTTATGAAAAAAAGGACTTTCAAAAATTCATGAATGAAATGTGTTTAAGAATATAAAAGCAAAAATTCTACCTAGAAACTGGGACTAATATCTATTTCATACTTTGATAAGTAAGGAAAACTCTGCCACTTTATCACCAACCTTCATCTCTATCAGAATCGTTATCATCTCTTTCTCTTCCATGACTTGCATCTACTTTTTCCGTCTCATTACCCTTATTTGTTGGATTAACGAGATCATCATCATTCTTCTCTTTCGTTTCAGAATAATGTTCCAAATTTTCATCATGGTCAAGAGCGTTTTCTTCCTTCATTTCTTCTTCAATCCTGAATAAGACCCGTTATATGCATAAAATTCTGAACAACAAATGGAAACTTCTCTTATGAACAACTTTAATTAATTTCTAAGAATAACCCATACACCAAACCTTTAAACAATGAAAGTTCAAGCGGGAATGAGATATGTATCTGATTGCACCTGTGCTCATACCACGCATCAAAAGTACCCGAAAATACAATTCTCATGAAAACACTATGATCAAAAGTTGGCCATTAGTAAAACCAAACTCGTGCGACGAAAAATGTGAATAAGACGAAGAGCTGTCCTTCTCACCATCGTCGTTAGTGACATCTTTTGAATCATCCTCGTTATTACATGTCTGAGCAACCGGCTGAAACGTAATACAGTTATATTTTCTGATATAAGGAAAGTAATTCAAAGTTCTTTTTTCCTTGAAAAAAATTTCGAACCTATCCCGTCGAGCTATTCGATAATTTTCCCTAACTCCATTCACACTTCCCAAATAGTGTATCCATAATTTAAGCATAAATTTTAATGAAGATAAACTTAAAACACACATAACCGGACTGAATCGGACTTAAAGCGATATTGTCATCACCGTCCTGATTAACCTCGAAATTTTTAGATCCATATTCGGCGATGTCTCCTTCCAATTCCGCCATCTGCAGCATATTTAAGAACTTGGTAATTAGTTACTAGTTATTTATGATATACTTATTTACGATATATAAATAAAGTACTTACGATGTAGAAAAAGCAGTTACTCATGATATACCTATTCATAACATCAGTAATTTCTATTACTACTTCGAAATTCACATGTAGCCTGAAGTCGTAACTACTTTTCTTACTTGCATACGAGAAAACAATGAATATTTCGCGGTAATTAAATCCCACCAGATCATTAACTGGAATTTATAGACCCTAATTCCACTCAAACTTTCCCAAATAGTTTGTTTACAATTTAAGAATAAATTTTTACGAAGATTAAAGTAAAACATACATAACCGGATTGAACTGGACTTACAGGAGTACTGTCATTACCATCCTGATTGGCCTCGAAATTTTCAGATCCATGTTCGGCGATGTCACCTTCTTCCAATTCTGCCATCTGCAGCATATTTAAGGAACTTAATACTTAGTTACTAGTCCTTATGATATACTTATTCATAACATCAATAGTTTTTACTGCCATCTCAAAATTCATATATAACTTGAAGTTGTAATTACTTTTCTTATTTGACATACGAGAAAACACGACACATTTCGTAGGAATTAAATCCCACCAGGTCGCTGATAAGAATTAATAGACACCTAATTCTATTCAAGCTTTCCCAAATAGTTTATCTACAATTTAAGGAAAATTTTT